CGCCATCTTGTAAAGACATTCTCTACCAGTCTATCGCGGTCTAGAAAATAGAGACAAAAGACTGGACAGCTGAAGTTTTCACAGGAATCCCAGCTAAGGTGATAATAACTCTAAGGGTGTATATAAAATTGACCAACCAAGAACTGGAACGTCCTTCTTAAATTGTAGTAGTGAATAGGGTTGCTGTTGTTGTTGTTATTCTTTTGTACTTTTTTTTTACTCTTGTTTTTTCTGTTATCATTGTCAATAAAGTGCAATTAAATAAACTAAATAAATAAATAAAAAAGAACTCAAACGTTTGTTTTGGAATCATCATATTTACTTGACTGATTGATACTTAACCTGTAAAGATGTGTCTTCCTATTCATTGGACTTAGGGCCTGTTTACATGGAGGTGGGGGGGGGGGCCCAGGTAGGTGGAGTAACCCGTCTGCCTATATAACGGCTGGTATGGCCAGCCGAAAGAGGTTGGAAATATTGTTATGGAAAAAAAAAACACGTTGCTCTGATCAGCTTTGCAGTAGTCTTTGGACTTCTCGTTTTTTGTCCATATAATCTCTCATTTCAATTTTATCACGTTTACATGATAGGTGGGGTGACCCGCCACATGTTATCTCACCTATCTAGGGTCCCCCACCTCCATGTAAACAGGCCCTTAGTTAACTAGAAATTAATGACCTAAAATTACTAAATGGACTTCATTTGCAATTTGTATTCATGACGTATCACAAAATTCAGTTAGTTTGGACTGATATTCTCATGCGAGTTGACGGGAAAATCTTACGATGCCGAAAACGTAATGAGGATAATTTTGACCATTTTTCTTGTTGCATATCTTGCACATGGTAAGTTGTACTTTTCAGCTTCTAAGTTAGTTATTTTGCTTTACCTGTCTCTGTTTTTTACATTTAATTTTGGGCGTAATATAGGTTCTTGCAATCTATATCAATGCGATAACGTCGATGGACGTTTTCGCAAAACAAATTCGATACTTACAAAAACCAGGACAAAAGAGTACAAAGAAAACCCCAAACTCCTTTCGAAAATAGACGAAATAGCTTGCTACTCAGTAAAATTCACCACTTACTTTTCGGTTCTCTTCATGGAAAAAAAGTTTAACATATTGATCAACTTTTCAGATGTTGATGGTGTTGATATTGTTGCTATTGTTGTTACTCGCTGCTAAATTTCCCCGCCCCCTTAGACTTGCCCACAAGTCGAGCTCAAAATTTTTCTCGAGCGCAAAGAAAACACCTGAACCGGAAACGAAAAGCGAAGGACTTGGAGTCTACTGCGCCCTCTCTTTTCTGTTCCTTGATAGTCTGGCGTAATGTTCTCGTCCTGTTGTAAATCAAATACGCTATTATCTTGCATGGCAGGCGCCAGCTAGTTTAGTTGCTTAGCTTTTATAGCAAAGAGGAGACTTTCTCTCCTTGTTTCCCCTCCCTCGTGCGCGCGCGCCACTTCCAAATTTCTCCCTTCGCCCTAAAGAAAACTGGAGAACTATCTAACATGCTGTGTCATCAAGGACGGCGGCCATTACTCCAGGGGTGACCATCGGAGCAATGCTCATCTTTAAGTTGGAAAAACGGACCTTAAATAGCCAGATTTAGTGCCAGGAATTGACGCGCTGATGTGTGGTTATCAATTAAAATAATTATGGTGTTCTCACTTATTGTTAAACAAAGCTTTGTTACGTAAGACTTCAAGTCAGTGTGATCCATTTTTTTTTCCCGGTATCGCTACTTGATTGTCCATCAACTCGCACTTGCAATGCGAGTTGATGGGCAATCAAGTAGCGATGCCGTGGACGTAAAATGAGGAGCCACTGGACAATTTTGCAACACATCTGCCGTAAGTTTTTTTGGTTCGAAAAAATTGTTTCTAATTGTTTCCACCGCTGTACTTTGAACTCAGTTCGGGAACGCTGGGCATGAATGCTGACGAGAATCATCGATCCTCCGTATCTTTCATCCCCAGCTGGGACGAGTAGGATCCAGTTGCGGTCAGGAGGTGATAGACTGATTTAACGGCAAATAAACGCACCGGTAGAGATTAAAAGGCCGGACGCTAAATTAACATACTCCGCGAACCAGATCATGCAAAGCCAAGTGCAAAGTCTCCTCAGCCTACAATCACCGAAAATGTCATCCTGGCTGTTTGATACGTGACCAATTTTACTGAGCTTGTAGCTTAAAATGATTAATAATATTTAACTTCTCGCGCATTTTTTCTTGTACTTTTTATTGACAATCCTTGTCTTAACGGCTTTAAAACAGCTTGGTAAAGAGCCAGGTAATGTTTTCCCGCATAATTATGCCTTGACTGCGAGTACAACTATGGTTTTTGCTAATGATAAATCTTGTTATTGTTGTTAAATTTCCAGGTAACTCCCTTCCAATTCCACATCATGCGGAAGAGGACATTTCAAAAGTATTGTCTTTAGCGTCTGTTAAAACCAGACCTGAGGTGCACAGTAATACCAAAGGAATTGGCGCGGACGCTGGTGGGTCTAAATACCCGAGAATACAAAAGAACACTTTTCAAACGCCGGTGAAGCTTGAAAATGCTGACTCGCGTTCACATGAAAGAACATCACAAAGAAGTCGGGAATTTACATCAGAGGGACTGCACTCATTGTCACGGAAGAACAACACTGAAAGGAGTCTCTCTAAAAAGATTGTGCGGCTTATCAAATTAAGATACAATAACGTGGCTACTGCAATCGGCAGAATATTTACTGATACCAAGCATGACTTGGATGAAGCAAGTGGCCTGGATCAGGAAGAAAGGAACGACCACTCTACTACAGTCCCTGGTAATGATTACAAGTCTGACAGGTGGGGCAGTGATCATGAGGATGACGACGTAGACGATTCACTTCAATCTCCAGATGATTTTCTGGATGACGTGAAAGGGAAAGACGCTCCCGACCAAGCAACAAATAACGAATACGGTTTTGAACACTCTGGAGATGGACGTGGTTTCCCGAGAGGACGCGAGAACGGTGAGCAAACCATTGAGCTCCTGCCCTTCTAACCTCGTCCTCAGGGCTTTTTCTTTAAAAAATGGGTGGGGCGGAGAGGGTCGAATTTTGGGGGCCAGTTGTCCCCTGCCCCACCCATTTTTTAAGGGAAAAGCCCTGGTGACGCGGTTGCTGCCCTTCCCATTTTCCAAAGGATAATTCTGAAAACGATGTTGATCATTTCTATTCTGTTTTCACAAACTATTTTTTTTTATAATAATAAGACTGTGAAACTGTGAAAGGTTTGAACTCAGCCGAGTCATTTCATAAGTCGGTTTAACATGATCGTCCGGATAAACGTAGTCCTGAATAGGATGTTCATGACAATGACTGACGTTTTGACAACCTGTGCGGTAGTCATCTTCAGAGACAGAGTGAGTTGTATCACCTCAGACCTGATTGGTCCGAAGTCGCGACGTTATTGGTCGTCTGTCAGCTAAGCCGTAATTTCATTGGTGTGTAATAATTAGTGTACACTTTTTGAACTCATCTGCGGTGGAAAATATCATCCATCTAGTGTGAAGGACATCGTCCCAAGGACTTTTCCCTGGTTAAAATGTCAATGGTACGTTTTAGATAGATACTTTTTCAAACCTTAAATTTTTCCCAGTTTAACGATGGGGCAGGTTGGCCTTCCTACTTTCTTTGTATTAATAACTGACGTTTGTGCTCTTATAACTGAACTCGCACAAATAACTTACAATTTACTTTCCTCTTGTTCTAGTTGGAGGTAACAAAGAAGGCCACTCTTCTAGACAAAAGCGAGAGGAACCAGAAGGCGGAAGTCATAAAACGAACAAGGATGACCTGAAAAAGCGATTTCAAATGCCAGTTTCAGGAGTCCGCTGGACAGGTTTCTCCTTGGCTCATCACACAAGCCGAGATGGCGTTGCTAATGCAAAGAAATCGAAAAGGAATAAAAATGATGATGATGAGGTTACCGGATCATTTACGCTTTTTCTTGTGTTTTCCGTTGCCAGTGTTCTGTTGGTGGTTCTCACGATGGCAGTCTGTTTTATATACACATGGTAAGCATTGAAGAGGGAACGGACGGTTTGACGGTAGCCCACATGTGTAGCAGTCTTTTGCGGACCTGGGTCAAATCGTGTTAGGTGTCGTCACCCTTTTGCAAAAAATGTATAGAGCTATTTCGAGAAAGGTTGTCGGAAAAGTGCACGCGACAATCCCGAAAGGTATTATGGGTGGTTTTGAGTTCACTGTTCTTCAGAGAAATCTGAAAGAATTGGCACGAAAGGCCATGAAAATGTGTTTGCGAGTGCTAAAGGAAAGCAACAAAAGTAGCTTCGACAGCTAAAGTCGTCAGAAACGGTGTATCGATCATATCCCATATTACCTTTCGTGATTGTCGCGTGCACATTTTTCCCACAACCTTTCTCGAAATAGCTGTATATATATATATATATACGATGATTTTCCCCTCTGGTTTCTCCGCGTTTGTGGAGGGGCGGGGGGAGGGTACGACTACACGTGCACTATTTGCGGGGGGAAGGGAGGGGTGAACTATAAGCTTTTAAGCTTTAGCAAGAGCAATAATTTTCATGGTGGTAGAGATGAAAGTGGTTTATTATATTCATTAATTTCTTCCATAGGCCTGTGAGGCGGTATTATGCGAGGCTGAACCAACAAATGAGTGAGGGAGATGTTGAATCTGGGTGGTACAATAATGAATTTCAAGGAGTTCAAGTTGACCCTATTTACCCAGGGTATCCTGAGGAAATGTTTGTAACAGAGACTACTGATGAGTTCATTCCGTACCCTTCTCCACCCCAACCAGGAAATGCCGCAAAGCCTTCAGGTATAGTGCAACACTAGCTTTCTGGTTTTCTTAACCAGTTCACTGCCATAATTAGCCAGAAAAATTCAAATTATACATAGTTATTTAATTAATTGACAAGTCATCATATTTTTTGTTCTTAGCTGAAATCATAACGGCGTTTTTCGTTTTTAAACCTCTTTGAAATTATAGTAAACCTTCATAGTAAACCTTCATCAGCAAATATCATATTTTGATTCTATTTTAACAGTAGCGAGAGAACCTGCTAAATTAACGAAAGGACTGAGGAAAAACGTTAAAAGCATTTTGGACTGGACGAGCAGGCGACCAGTGCAGGAGGTCCTTCGTGATGACCGCAGAAGAGACTATCGCAATGCTGAGAAGAGGAAGATAATTCATAAGCTGACTTCTCAAAGGAGGAATTCTCTTCTTGATAGTTTGTTGGCGGCGAAAGAGATAATTGACGAATATGGCAAGAATAAAGCGTTCGAGGAAAGGGCTTCGGAACGACGTCATAAAATCAAGCAGTTTAATTCAATTCCAGGAGCACCGAATAAAACAAGGCGAAAGTCGTTTATAGAGGAGATACAGAACGCTTGTTTGGTTTTATCTCCAGGCATGGTGGACGACATAAAGCTCGAGCAGGCAAAGGGAAAATGTCGCCGGATCAAGAGTGAGATTGCTAGTAAGCGAAGACCATCCCTCCTGGACGAAATTGAAGTGGCCAAGTCAGTAATCATGAGGAACCCTTACAAGTACGTTTTGAGTCCTAGGCTGGTTGAAGAGGTATGACTTACTCCTTTATAATTCAAAGGCGAGGAGCCGGTGGGACTGGGGGAAGGGGTTAAACCTCCCATTTTTACCAAAAAATTAATGACTTACCAAGAAGAGAGTTCCTACAGCCTGCTCACTTCAAGTCACTAGTCACCCCGCCCGCCCACACCCCTGACCCAACCTGGAAAAGATTTTCACCGTCCTTACAGGTGTGAAGCTTATATAGGATATAATATTTTTGGACGAGTGAAGAAGTCGGGGTAAGACAATATAATATGTATGGACATGAAGTGACTGAAACGTTTGTGACTGATGTGGTTGTTAGTATAATACAGGTTTATTAGATTGGAGACATTGATTCTCTATCTTTTCACTGACAGATGAGAAGTGTTGGTCTGGACCCCAATGACCATTGCAGCTATTACGTGATGGACTATTCCAAAGGTCCCAGCAAGAGCTGAGGAGGTAGTATCCATCTGTTATATCTGTGTGCTGAGACTAGCTTAATAAACCACATGTCTTGATTAACAAATTAAAGTGAGAAACAAATTTTCCTTTGTAACCTACGATCAACCTTTCTTCAGTTTCTCTTGGTGAATATCACGGCCCCTCTGGGGCTAAAATTTTGTTCAATTAAGGGTTATGGAGAGCTAGTCAAGTCCTGAAATTATTGTGCTCAACAGACCATCGATCGCCCCCACAATTTCCTGGCCCCTCCGGCAAATTTTAGAGTTTGTTAAAGCAAGGCAAACATGACGTCATATGATGCATTATTCATCATTGAGGCAACTTACATTGTATCAACTTTGTTTGATCCAAATTTCATTTTTCAGTCTCTGTTTTGCTCTCGTCCCATCTTACTCTGCGCGACGAATTCGCGCGGAAACGCCATCTACGCAGGCTATTCCCTTTGCATTTACGTTCACCTTGACTCCTGTACAACTTCCTGAAAGTTGAAAGCAACTTTATCAAAATACGTTACCATTAGAACAGACATCTATTATCTTTTGGTGCTTTAATATGTTTGGTTTTTTGTTTGTTTGTTTCTTGAATACAGAACCTGTTCCCTAAATATTGAAGACTTTTAACTCACACGTTATATGAAACCTCTTTTTTAAAAGAGGTTTCATATAACGTGTGAGTTAAAACTCAGTAAACACTTTACATGGCTCTCTTTTAACACTTAAGGCTTTCTTTTATATTAGATTTACTCTTTTCTCTTTCTTTCCTTTTTTTGTTAGTTTTCATCCTGACTGGAAAAGACTGGATTAACTACAGCAAGTTTACTAAATGAAAGAACTATTGTAAACATGTCTTCATAACTTCATTATTACTTGCTTATCATCTACTCTTCAGCGAATGTTACTCTTTCTCGGTCAAATTCAATCCAAGATTACTCGATAATTGTATCGGTTTTTTTTTATTCAATAAAGCCAGAAATTGAGCAATTGAGAAATTGTTAGTCTTGTTTAACTAAATATTTCCATTCTTCG